GTCCTGTCCCTACAATTCATTTCTCTTCTGCCTCAGCAATTATGTGTAGCGCTCACCCCCGAAGGAGCCGCTGAATATGAAATGGGTTCTCCTACCTGTTGGTTCCAGCTACCAGTCCCCTTTGATCAGCAACAGCACACTGACACTCATGCACAGAATTGCTCGAGTTTTAGGGTTCTTTTTAGGTTATTTATTTGCAAGTTCAATAGGAGAGAGAGGGTTTAGGATCTGTAGAATGCCTTGGAAATACTTCGGAGGACAGCTTTCTCCCTTAGCAACAGCTAAGGCTGAAATCACTGTGATCTGGTCCCAGAGACCAATAGTAGTAACAATACTGCGAACAGCCAGGATGATCCAGTAGCTTATATGGAGAAGGTTAGCTATCTCTGGACTTAGGTAAGGACCCCTGGGATCTTCTCGAACAGATACCTGGAATAGGGTGAGGGATCTCCCTTCTGGGTCCCAGATGGGCGCTCACACCAGCTCCTCTGCGGTACCCCTCAACAAGCAGACTCTCCCTCCGACCCAGCTTCCATCAGGTATTTTCCTCTTCAGGATCTGGAATCTCTGTGCCCTCAGCATCTGCAACTGCCAAGGAGCACTCCAGGTTAGTAGTAGTATCTTCTTAGAACAAGACACCCATCACCTGCCACGTGTATGGGCCCAGCAAAGTATCGGTGTATCCTAGGCCTCTAGGCCCCTCAGCACCTGCCATGTGCTGAGGCCCAGGCCAGTTTCCTGCATCTCCACAGACCTCCTAGGGCGAGGCCCCTAGGGGGAAAAGACCTCTGCACAGCGTCCCCAGACCTTTTATTACCTGCCCTCAACTATGCCTCTGAGTCATCCTACTCAGGGATTGGCTAGGGCCAGGTGCATAGTCATATCCTGAGGATGGATCCTCCCTCACTGTATGCCAAGGCTCCCCTTTTCCTCAGCAACAGGAGGAGCAATCAATCCAGCAGATTCAGGGACACTAAAAGAATGCAGAGCTCTGTACAATCAGTATCTAGACGGGTTACAGTCCAGGTATCTTTAAATTGAATAGCGACATTTTAGAGGGCGCTACACACACATTTAAAACATTTGTAATCCCTTTTTCCTCAAGCCTTGCACAAGTGTAACTCTGCCCAAACATTTCTTTAGTTTTGAATTAGGTAGCAGAATTTTGGAACCCCCATCAATTTGTAATTCTGAGGCCTCAGAGAAATTTCCCTCACTTCCTGTCCCACTGACATTGTTATCACCTGTACAGGAAATGAAGAGAAACCAGAAACACAGACAGCAATAATGCATATGCAGTATTGCACATTTTTGAAAAGCATTAATGCTTGTGCTTATCAGTGTTTTTGTGAAGTTAATAAATAGGTTTTTGCCCTTTTTTATGTGTTTTATAGAGGTTTTTGCTCATTATGCAAGTCAGTTAGAAAACATTCAGAGTATGGATTTTCCTGAGTGAATATGTTCTTAAAAGTTCCCCAAATTGCACGCTATAGGAAATGTTTTGTTCATTTACCATTTATTCTTTTGGGCTTCCTTAACAGGAAGAAGTGCACCTTGAAACAGGCTGTGAGCTATAGTGCATAGAGAAACATGAAAGATGCCTTTTCTGACCTCCTTCTCAAAATGTTAGTTGCTGGCTGTTATTCTGATCCCATGGGCCCAATGCTTTCCCATTCACTGACCTGGAATATCTATGCAGATTAGGAAAATCAGAACGTATCTGCTATCTTGTTCAGGGTTAATGGCTAAAAGAATTATAGTCAGAGGGTCAGTTTGACAGCCAGGCAGAGTTAGCAATTGATGGCAGTATTTAGGTTTCTCTCTGAAAAGGTTTCTTTTCATATAACAGAAAGCTATCTTTTATTATTGTTAGTGATCAGAGTCACTGCTGTGTGGCAGGTTACACTGTGTACATTTTAGAATGCAGTTGTAAGCTCAGAACATTTGATCTGTGGACATTGGTAACATTCTCCATTAAGTAGCAATCATCACATCATCATTCACAGAGACCCATACAATTCCCCAAGCTTTGTATGATTCTATTAATCCATTTAGCCTTTAACCAGGCAATTTTCTCTAATGGTAACATAAGTGTGAACTCATCAGAGATTAATTTGATCTTTATCTGTTTTATGTTAATATTGTAAAATGTGTTTTCTTCTAAAGCTGTACTGAAGGAACAAGCTGATCGTTTCTTAGACAAAAAAAAGTAGGCACAATTCTGCAGCTGGTTGGATAGATCAAGTCACATGCATATGTGTACAGCAATTGTCAGCTAAAGTCCAGATGAAATCTTTTTTAGCATTGGATAGGGTAGGGAAGTGAATGGCTTTCACTGTGTTGGGCTTGTTGAGTAAGTTCTTTCAGATTGGATCAACAATGTTTTCTGCAGACTGGATCAACAATGTATTCTACAGATGTATACAACCATTTGCCAGCACCCTTCTGTCTATTGTCTTTTGGGGCACAGGAGTACATTTACAATATTGTCAGATCCACCCGGCTACCCCCTCCCCTGTTTGTCCCTCCAATAAGCCCTGGAGGAACAGAGAGGAGAGGGGGGGAAATCCTTTCGGGGTGCAGTGACAGACGGTGACCAATCAGCAGTCACATGATCACCCAGCTCTTGATCTATAGAGCTAGCATGTAACAGCTGCAGTATCTCATGCCGGCTCTTAGTATTGGGAATATTTTACTCTCCCAATACTTCTTTAAATGCACTTTGTTTAAATGCAAAAGCGAGCACTAGGCAGTTCGGCCCATGTACGCAATCCCTTTTCCTATCTGTTCTTTCCCATTCAAATGACCCCTTTTCCCCTCTTCTCTTGTCTTCGTGTCCCAGGGATAAAAATAAACAGGGAAATTCTCTTCAGTGGAGGCACATGCAGCAATAAAAATCTAATAAACTTAAGATTTCCCCCATTGTTTGTAGCAGTACGAAAATGAAACGTTAAAAATCTTTCTTGGTTATCAATTATTATCTTACAGCTAGGCATGGCACAAGGGGGTTAGTAAATGCTTATATGTCTGTGGACACACGGTAAAGTTCGCAGAATCTCCCTGACTAACTGCACTTGGATTCAAAAAAAATGATTATCCAAAATGAGTTTTCCTGGACAATGACTATTTCATGAAGGCAGGTGCAAGGGTGCTTTTATAATCCATAAACATGCACATACTGGTTTAAAGCACTGTATCTTATCTTTCATAAGAAATATTGTTTTATAGTTGGATCTCTGGAATGCTATCTCATGGCTATGGCTAGCCTTGGTGCTTAGTTTTCCTGTGATCCTGAAGTCTTTTGTCCAGCTCAGCAGAAGTGCACATAGCACAATTCTCTATTTATGAATAATTTTTTTTTTGGTAGATTAAATCTCTATGGTATTTTAAACAGTATTTTTAGATATAACCTGCAGCCGCTATTGATACAGATGTAGATAATTAATGGGCTTCCATATGCACATATGTCCTAAATCTGACCTGACAAATAGTAATAGTTTTATAAAGTAATGTTAATTTTACCTCTCTTCAGCATTGGTCAAGCTGTTTGTGATCCATAAACCCAGGTCATGCACCCTTTTAAAAGCCATGCACCTAACTCTAACCTAGCCACACTGTACCATTGTGCTTTAAATGTTTTCCTACTTTTCCAAATTCAGAACAATGGCACACTCTAATCTCATGGCAGCATCATTTCAAATTACAGAACTGCCAATGCTAATGACATACAGTACATACATACAGTATATTTCCAATATCACTCACATAGCATCCTTCAGCCTGGGGTTACCTAGGGGTTTTTCAATCCAGATGAGGAAGTCCAGGAACATCATATTAAACATAATTGTTTGTTGGAAGGTTTCAGGGGAAGAAATAATGTTAGATGTGTTAATCATTTTTAAAGAACCAGTAAGGTTATACAGCTCACTATACTTTAAAGTCTATCATCTTTATTTCTTGTTTCAAATTCATCTAGCAAGCCACTAAAGAAGGGATGTTGAGCTTCCTTATGAACTGATAAACTGCTGAGCTTGAAACCATACTGTTCACAAGTGATTCTCATAACAGTGCGCTATAGCAATAAGATCAGTAACAGCTGTGAGAACAGCAAGCAATTGCAGTACACTGACCTAGCCTGCCGTTATACTTAATTACTTGCAGTCTATAGGGATATTATCAGTTGTCATGAAAGACATTGTTTCCAGTTCTGTTAAATGTATTTCAGATAACAGCTGAATATGTAGTTTGAGACAAGGATCAAACTGATCTGTAACAATACCTGGGGATCCTGTAGAGAATCTTAAAACAATCCACACCTTAACATGTTTTCGTATACAGGCATAATGGGAGGGTGTGTAGCGTTTCTTTAAGTCTATTTTTGCAATAATAAGAACTGAAAAGCTTGTTTTTCATTATCAGTTATGACTTGAATGTCATCCCAGATATAGGTTGTTTTAAAATATAGTGGGGTTTTTTCTTTCAGTAAGCAAATATTTGACTTGTTATTACACTTTTTAATTCAAATACATTTTTGATGTGTCTTTCACGTTTTGCTTTTTCATCTCTTTGCTGGTTTACAAGTTAACAATTGTTCAGAAATGATATCAGCCATACATAGAGTATATTTTTTTTCCAGTGGGTCACCTGACTCATGGACTTGTGTTGTTAGAAGGAAAAGTAAAGCACAACCCTTATGCAGCACTGCAAAGCAGGAAGGAGATGACTGCATGTAATGGAATGCAACATACCGTGTGATTCTGTCTTTTTTGTTTTCCTTTGTAGTTTAACACACTAACCCACAATTGCAGCCTTTGTAGAGAATATGTTGGGCTAATGTACAGCTGGATAATGATTACTGTGCATTTGTATACTGAAATTACCATCTTAGATGATGCCTTGTGATAAAGCTTAACATTGTTATTTTCTGTGCTGATGTGTATTGTCATTTATTGCAATTGATTTAATATTAAGTATCCTGCTTTGATAATGTCTTTTCACAGACTCCAGTCACAGTTAATGGGAATGCAGGCAGCCCATCCAGTCCAATGAGTCACTTTCAGAGGCCATTCTCTCCAACATATCCCTCTTCACCACCGCTAAACTCCAACAGCATTGCCATGCAACAGGGCAGAACATTGGGTAGGTCATATCCACATGTTTTATCATTATTTTGCATTTCAATACCCATTGGGCTTCATTATACCCTGGAGCAAATTAAATGTGGTAACGTCAAACTAGCACTTTTCTTCCTTGTACATTCTTTTTCATAATATTCCTTAGCTAAAGATCTCCCTCTACTCTGGCTTAACAACAGCTAGCTATGAGATGAGCTTCCTGGACCCACCTGGACAGAATTCTTGAAATGTTCCTATCCAGAGTTGGGAGTATAACACAAAATAAAGTTTTGCTTTATCTTTGTCACTGCAGTTGATTCTTCATAGGAATATTGGGGTTCAATTCAGAGCCCTTCACTGTTATTGCTGGACTGGAAGTGGAGAGATCTTCATTCTGGGGCAACAGATAGTTTTAAAGCCTATCTGAAGTTTAGATTTAGGTTTCTAATGCGCAATTATGTTGTGGAATTGTATAACAGTGAATTCCAAGGGCTGAGGATGCTGACAGCCAATGTAGGAGAGCAGCCTCTGTAGGACAAAACAGTGCAGCCACTCTCCCATGCACAGCAACATTAGATTTAAGGCACAATCACACCATTGTGCTGTGGTAATGCATCGTACACGTGTTGGTCGTTTGCATGACAATTGCACCCCAAATAACACACCTGCACTGCTTTGTGAACCATGTGTTGCAATGCACTCCAGTGTGCTGCAGAAAAGTGCAGTCGCACTAAATTTTAATCATTGCAGCCCATGTACTGCCTAACACAGTGTGCCTGAGTGCATGAAATTGTGTTTTGTGATGCACGGCGTGGTAGTGTGAATGAGATCAAGAATCCTTACAGGCTATATAGTGGGCTCCCTAAGCGGGTGGATCTTGCTTTCCTAAATCACCTGCCTAAGTCAGTGCCTGCATTACCAATCCATAGCTAGCAAGTAAAAGCCAAGAAAAGGTAAATAATAAATATGGGGGAATAAAAAAATATTAGTGCAGCAATATTACATGGCATTTTCTTGGTGGCTACAATTTAGATTTAAACACCTAGTTGGAGATTAAGGTCTGCCCTGTTCTAGCCAAAACTAAAAAAAAAAAGTTTTTTTTTTTAGCAATTTGAGCTAAATTTGAGTTCTGACATAATGCCTGTATGTTTTGCCTTTGTAGTTTTGGCTGAGCCTAATGTATTAGTTTTGTTATTAAATGTATAGTGTATCATGCAATGTTCAAAATTTGTATTAAATTCTGTATAGTGTGAAGTTTCTGTTTCTTTTGCATCCCTTATATAAAGATCTAGACCCATTTCTTTTTATTTGGTTTTCTAACTTCACCATAACTAGGAAGGACACCCCAAATGTATAAAACGTATTAAATGTTACTTCATAATTTCAGGCATTGCTCAGCTCGGTGCTAATAAGACTGATTGACATACATACATTAGATTGCTGTTGGCATCCAGAGCATGCTTACACCTGGCAGCTATGTAGATCTTACGTGGCGTCTACACTCTCCAAGTTTTGGCCTTTCGTTGACTGTAATAAGGAGCGGCAGCTGCAATTATGGATTCACAAATAAGGTGGATGAGTGTAGAGAGGTGCGCTTGGTACATTGTGAATGTGTCCTCTGGGCTGTGTGAGGAATGTGGCTAATTTCAATGTAACCAGAAAGAAGAGTCTCTGAAACAAAGGAGACCTCTGATATTCTGCCAGAATCACACAATTGCCTACTGCTCGTGCGGTTTGAGACACTTATTGTTCTTAATGCTGCTTTTCAATGGCCTCTGGGGCCCACCCTAATTTGTATAACCTTTTATATTCGTGAGCTGAAAAATGAAATGTTCCATTGTAATGTAGGACGATGTTGTGTGACTGCTCAGGGTAATGAATGATGGGAAATGTCTATTCTCTTCTTTTAATGTTTGGCAGTGACAAACCATTTGCCATAGGTCTCTTAGAGGGAAAATGTAAACACCGTTCTTGGTATATGTGTAGGATATTTCGCTGTAATAAAATCCTGAAGTGAACGAATAAGTATTATATCCTCTTTCATCTGCTGTGAAAAGTTTGTAAGCCATGTTTAGTTGATTCAATATATTCAATTAGCATCTGATGACAGCAATGCATATATGTGTATGAGTCATTTAAATATCAGATACCATAATATACTATAATTTCAATCAGTATTTCAATACCAGTTAAAATCCAACTACATTTATTTTTAGTTTTGTATAGTTCCTGGCAATTTGCATAATGGCAGCATTTTACTTTTTCTCAAGTATCAAAATAATGGTGTTATACCTCAAAGCAGTTATCCCACAATTTGCAACATCATTTGACAATATCTGTCAGGGTATAGCTGCCATTAGGTTATGGAAACCACACATGCAGCCCTGACTACTCTTTAGGTGCACCAGGCACCACAATGACACATAGAAATAAGCAGATCACTGCAGCCTAGGTGACACAAGGTGCCCTTCTGTCTGACTTCCTTGTAAATCCATTGCTTCAGGGTGCTCCATGAGCCCCTAAAATCCAGGTGCCGGTAAAGTTGCAGCTTTTTAAAGTGGGCACTGTCCTGTGAACTCTCCCAAATTGTCCTAAATAGCAGTCAGAGGCCACAATAATGTATTGCGATAACACTAGCAACAATACCAAAGAATCACATCCACTGAATTCTCTTTTTTCTTCAATCAGCTAGGCTGTATGATATATTCAGCATAGTACCTGATTGCTGTCTGGGTCTCTATTGTGAAAATTGCCCTTCCTTTCCTGTACCAGTGTCCCCAAGACAGGATGCGAGGGTAGGTACTCTCCCTAACAGGAATGTAGATAACAGAAATGTGACAAAGATTCTAGCCTTTCTACACTTAAAAAAACATTCCACACTTTAAAAATACTTTATCTCCTGCTTTGGTGACTACTAGGCAGGAAGTGAAAACAATTTCATACTAGGAACTGACAGAGGTTCTTACCCTTCCCCACTATATGCGGTACTTCAAAAATGGCTGTTGTTTTCACTTCAAAGATGATAAACCACAGCTGTATCTTTCAGTATGAATTACCATAAATATTACCATTAGGTAAATATAGTACTTTGTGTCTATTTACATTTCATCCTTCTTAAAAAAGTAGGATAAATAACCCTTTCAAGTTATGTTTTCCTTTGTCTTTGTAGATTCTGCAGACTCCTACTCCCAGCAGTATCAGTCAGAAATTGGCCGAAGTAGCAGCACCATACCAATCTGCAGGATCTCTGAGGAGGAGAAGAAAGTCACAGTCATTAAAGCTCCACACTATGCTGGGATTGGACCAATTGATGAGTCAGGAATACCGACAGCAATTCGAACGGTAGGAGGAATGTTTAACCATCTTTACACTGCTGCCTGCTATGCAAAATATCCTTCCTAATATACAAATATTCTCTGTTACCTTATTTAAAAGTATGATAGCAGGCTTTATATTATGTATACTGGCATTGTATGCGAGACCACAAAACAGATTTTCAGGGAGTGTGTACATCCCAGCAGTTGGAAATGTCCTTAGTATAAATGTGGAGTTTGCCTAATTAAAGTTAAATACATAATCATTGTTCTGCAAGTGTCTGATGATTACTTATGGCATAAAGTGTCATATGAAATATCAGAACTGGCACACTAGAGCAATGGTACTTTGAGGTCTCATAACTATTCGCACATCTCACATACAATGAGGGGAATTTATCAAAGCTGGAGCAGACAAAATCTGGAGCAGCTGTGACCGGCAACCAATCAGCTTCTCTCTTTCATTTTCAAATCTTAACTGAACAAACTGAAGAGAGAAGCTGATTGGTTACTGTGCACAGCTGCTCCAATTTTTGTCTGCTCCAGTTTTGATAAATTCCCCTCAATGTGTCTTGCGTTGTAACAAATAGGACACACTATAGTCAGCTGCTGCCACTGAGCAGTTATGGGAGAACACATAGCAAAGACTTGCATGGTAATGTATTCTGGACATACCCTTACATATAGAGAAGGGTAGCCATAGAATGCCTAAACAATACTAGTCTAATGATAAATCCTAGAAAACAATATAGATTTTTATGTAGCATTGGAATGCAATTATTATTTACTGCTAAAAAGAAGCTCTGTGGAAGTAAGATTCATTTGGTGAAACAATATTCATCTCATTCCGACTGTTTAGTAAATTGATACTTTCCCTGATGGCAGCCTATGATCATTGCTTGGGTATATTTTTTAAACTTAAATGCGTTTTCTACTTTGTCTGTAGAGTTTGCTAATACCCTCAATAAACTTCATTACAGCTTAAAGTGACACTAAACTCAGGAGTTAAATCCTAAAAATGCATTCAAGTATCTTAACTATTAACATTGCTGTAGCTTATTTCTGTATCACTCAACTGTAGGTCCTCAAATCATCTCTGAATTGGTGCTGACACTGTCCTTCCTTCTGGAGGGTGTCTACTTTTTTTCCGAATGGTCCTATGTGTGTGTTGTAAAGTAGTCACTGCTCCAAGCCTGCTCCTGTGATGGACTACAATCTTACGTTAAATTTACTAATTTGTTTTGAGATTGTAGTCTATCATAAACGTATTTTTAAGACCTGACTCCTAAATTTAGTGCTACTTTTAAATGCTTATTCCTGCTGGTGGTTTATGGATCACTTAGAGCTATTTACAGGTGAAACTCGAATAATTAGAATATCGTGCAAAGTTCATTTATTTCACTAATGCAACTTAAAAGGTGAAACTAATATATGAGATAGACTCATTACATGCAAAGCAAGATAGTTCAAGCCGTGATTTGTCATAATTGTGATGATTATGGCTTACAGCTCATGAAAACCCCAAGAACCCCAAATCCACAACCTCAAAAAAGTAGAATATTACATGCAATCAATAAAACAAAGATTGTACATAGAACAATATCGGACCTCTGAAAAGTACAAGCATGCATATCTACTCAGTACTTGGTTTGGGCCCCTTTTGCAGAAATTACTGCAATTACTTATGCACGATATTCTAATTATTCGAGTTTCACCTGTATATAGCTATTTATTAGGGCTGTGGAAATGAAAGATTAATTTCTCGATTAATCGTTAAACTTTTTGATCGATTAAAATTATTTTGATCGCTAATGAAAACACTCACCTCTCTACTGGCTTCCGGGAGTCCCGTAGGAGATCCGGTGACGTCATGGACATCGACGTCACCGGACTCCTCCCCCTTCCCCAAGTGGCTCCGTCGGCTAACGAAGGGAATGGGGGAGGAGTCCGGTGATGTCGATGCCCGTGACATCATCGGACTCCTCCCCCCTTCGTTAGCCGATGGAGCCACTTGGGCCGGTGATTTTGCCCACGAAACTTTCTGCATGAGCGCCAGCCAAGACATTGGCCTATACACATACAGCACAGCAATGAAGTAATAAAATGAACTAGGATCACACTAATCCAGCACGTTATTTTTCTGAGTTGCCGTACTCAATCGGCTGCCATATTGAGTGGGGCGCGTGAGATTAATAAAGTGCTGGATTAGTGTGATCCTAGTTAATTTTATTACTTCATTGCTGTGCTGTATGTGTATAGGCCAATGTAGTTGGATCTGTATGTGCGTTATAATTAATCGAAATTAATCGATTAAAAAAAATTTCGATTAATCGAACACAAAAATTGTAATCATTACCAGCCCTACTATTTATATTTCCCGCTTATTTTGTTTTCTATACTTTGAGCCTGGTACTTTAGCTATCAGGGCTAAAACTTCACTCAAAGCTTCACATGTTCAGGAGTCTCACATACTCAGAACATAGAAAACATTGTTTGAGGTCAAGGAGTTGACAGGCAAAGAATTTTCAGACTTCAGATGACCTCATCATCAATTGCAGCTCCCATATATCTGTTCAAACTGGGCCTTTTATTACATTGGCCCTTATGCAGAACCCTTTGAAAACATCTAATCAGTTTTAAACATAATTACACCCAACATTGTTGCTCTCCTAAGACTGTCTTCCTACTTCTCCTCTCTACCATCTCCACCAGACCATGTAAGCCAGTACTCATCTTTGTTATGTACATCCAAATGACAGAAAACAACAGTATGCCCAATGCCCAAAATATGTCTTTAGAACTTCAGCATACAGGTGATAATACTTGATGATGCATTTCGGACTTCTCCTTAGTCATAGCTGATAGGCATAATAAAAGCATTATAATATATACCTCACATACTCCACTCCTTATAGAAAAGTTGTGCAAAAATTGCAGTGAGAAATACAAGTCTGTATCAGGTAGGTGACAGCTATTTAATTAAAGCAATCAAAAACATATAATGGATACGTTTTAGAGTGCACCATATGATGGCAATACATTGTGCTATATAGCAAAATATACAAAAAGTATGTATTGCTTCTCCTATATTGTTAATCACCAAGAAACACACTAAACGGGTTAATTACCTTAATCCAAAAACCCATTCCCTCCA